CCTTCTGCTTGGGCCCAGAATCCGGCTTTTTCCTTCCGACCACCCTCTCCACAGCCCTCACCAGCCCCGGCCGAGCCGCACCTGGAGATGCTCCTGAAAACGAATTGGCAGAATCTGGGCCATGGCGCTGTCGGGGGTATGGGCTCCTCCTGTCACTGGGGCTGCGGGGCAGCGGCTGCCCGGACTCTCCAAGGGAGAGGAGGAGAAAGGGGAGGGGGTAGGCTGGGCTCAGCAAGATACTCTCCGGGGACGCAGGAAACTGGCAGACAGACGAGAGCTCGGGTCGGGGGCGGAGGCTCCAGGGTCCGGGACAGCCGCAATGGCGGAACCGGGCGCAGCGCAGACTCCGGAAACGGCTGAGCCCTGCGGAGGGATCCCGGCGACAGAACTCCGCCCCAGTCACCTCACCCCCTCCGTCCGATGTACCCCTCCACGGAGCGCCGCGGCACAACGGGCGCAGGAATTCGGGACGCAGTGCGTTCCGGCCTCGCTGACCGCTGCGGCAGGAGGGGAACTAGGGGAAGAGAGGGACTACTTTTTTGGACTCATCACTTTCCCAATCTCCTGCTGCTTTTCCCTCCCTCCTCCTCTCCCTCCCATTTTTTTTTTGCATTTTGCCACATCATGCGACTAGAGGCGGACGACGTCACTTCCGTTGGCACTGTGGGCCCCACCCACGTACTTCCGGGTGCACGTGATGCTGGCTGGGAAGGTCGGCTGATGGCTCTCAGCAGACGGGACGTCCCGGGTTCTAGGGAAATGTGGCGCCTCCCGGGAATGCGGTGTCTGCCGGGCCGCCTGGAGGGTTGGGGGTGCCGCTCCCTTCCCCTGTGGGCCCTGCTTATTTAAACCGACTCCCTCAGGAAGAGGACGAAGCGTGGGCGCCTGGGCCCGGCCTCCCGCCCGCTCGGTGACTCAGGGAAACGGCCTCCCTGCGGCGCGCTGCTCTGGCAGCTGGCTGCGGCCCTCCGCCCCCGCCTAGTTGAACGTAGTGGGTGTTTTCTTACCTCCCGGGGAGGGGGACGAGCGGGGCTCAAGTCCTCCCGGCCCCTAGGAGCGCCCTCCGGCGGGGGCAGCGGACGCTGGGTTCTCACTGGCACTAGCAGGCCCCCCGGGGGCTGCTTAAGGCATTGGCTCACCGGGCGGCGAAGGCCGTTTCCGGGTACCTCCAGCTGGCCTGGTGGTAGCTTTTCCAAACGTTTCTGCGGACATTTTGGCGGACAAGTATGTCGGTCTAGCTTAGTAATAAATGTGTCTGATGGTAAAGGATTTGAGTACCCTAAGTACGCGGAAAAATTGGACCAAAATTGCAGCAGGAGGATTTTTTTTTTGCCACAGCAAGTCATTAATGAGTCAGATTGAGGTAATTGGGTTAAGAGTGGTTTGTGAAACCTTCAGGTTCTTCCTGGGTGTGACGAATGTACCCTCTCGGAGAAAGGTATTATCTACCGGTGGGACCACCTCCGCCTTTGCTTGTAAATGAGCGATGTTCGGGGACCTTCGCGTTGAAAAGCTGGAGTGTGTGTCGTGCCTTTTAACAGCATTAACGTAGCTAAGGGATTCATGATCGACTAATAACCTTCCCGGTACTTTCTTGCTAAATTATGAGCTGTAATATGTCATAATAGCACAAGTACAATAGAAGACGAAAGAATTTAGCTCTGTGCTTCTCACCTTTATCAGAGGTGATTATTTCCCCTCCACCCACCCCCCCCCAAAAAAAAGGTCTTGAGGAAAAACTCAACTATACAGTGATTATGCTTTAGTGCCCTTTCCAGTTAAACATAAACCCCTATTGGGTATACAGTGATTTTGTTTGTTAAGCAGTTTTGCCTGGAAAGTTTGCTTAATCATTTAATTGCTTTTAATGTTTTCCCCAAAATATATATCATACACTAAGGATGAGAGAAGACTCTTGGGCAGGTAAGAACGTAGAGAATGTTCCGCAAAGACAAGACTTGCCTCCATGTCATAAGAGTGAATATTTATGTTTGGCAAAATCTCGTTTTGTTAAACCAAATACTTGAAGATGTTCTGTATTCTGCAACATCTGAAATGACCTTTCTAACACCAAGTTTAATAGTAGCTGCTTTCAATCCTTTCTGGAAGTAGACAAAATCTAAATTTAAAATCGAAAGCTGTTTTATTATAGTAAAAGCACTAGCTTAAGTAACATTTTCCAATCGGAGAATCTGGGATACAAGAGTTCTATCATGAACAAGCCACGGAAATTTTCTTTATTAATAACTGTCTTGCATTTTCATACAGACCTATGATTTTTAAGTACATTCAGAATCCCTAAAGCAGCTGATTTTGGCTTGGATATTTGGTGTGGACTATCTAAAAGTGTGCTGAGGTTCTGCAAAAGGGACTTGCTGTGTCATCGTACACAGAAATCTAATCAATATATTTTTCTCAAATCATTTGGAGAGAAGAAAAATAGATGACAATATACCAGCTCATTTGAACAGTATATCCTTCAAATCAGTAAATTCAAAACTTTAACCATTTGTATGCCATAAGCGTCTATAGACGCAAGCGGCAGACCTTTTTAAATTAAATTCAAAGTATCGTGGCAGATAAATTTGGTCCAGCCCGGCTGGTGTTGCTCGGTGCTTGAGCATCAACCCATGCACCAGTAGGTCACAGGTTCAATTCCCAGTCAAGGCACATGCCCAGGTTGCAAGTCGATCCCCAGTAGGGAGCGTGCAGGAGGCAGCCAATCAGTGTTTCTCTCATTGATGTTCCTCTCCCTTCCTCTCTAAAAATCAATAAAAAACTTTTTTTGAAAATTGGTCCAGATGATAAAAATTAAACCAAACCTCTGGCTTTTAAAAGGTCAATAATCTTGGCTGAGAACGAGAGCTTTTTATGGTAGTAATGCTTTTGCTAAGGGTGTAGAAGCAGGGCGGGGGTGGGGGTTTGGAGGGGTAGGGGGGTAGGGGGTAGGGAGACTGCCAATCCTTGGTTTAGAAGCCCCCTAAGGCTGAGTCACTGTTAACAGTTACCTGAGCAGTAACTGAACTACTGTTTTAAGGCACTACCTTAAGTTAGAGAAGATAACCTAATAAATCAGGAAACAAATGCTGGGTTTATTTTTTTCCCCCTATAATAGTCTTTTAATAAGACTAGTGCTATAAAAATGTATATTATCCTGGCTTTGGGTTTCAGAAAATATTTTAGTAAGGTAGCTGTGTTTATAAAATAAATGGTCAAGTTCTTTCCATGTGAAGCTATTTTTTAGCAATAGTGTTCAATAGTATAGGGTGACAGCAAATACCATTAGCAAAAACTGCATTGGTCATCTGCTATTTTGAGGAGTGCTAGTTTCTCAAAACCTATACAAGAAAACTTTACTGTGCCCATACTTTATATTTTATGCCGGTAACTATGATATATACATGAGTATCTCCAACAAGAATGACAACTCAGCCCTAGGCGGTTTGGCTCAGTGGACAGAGCTTCAGCCTATAGACTGAAGAGTCCCAGGTTTGATTCTGGTCAAGGGAACATGCCGGAGTTGCAGGCTTGATCCATCCCCAATAGGGGTTCCTGCAGGATGCAGTTGATCAATGATTCTCATCATTGATGTTTCTATCTCTCCCTCTTCCTTCCTCTCTGAAATCAATAAAAATATATTTTTAATAAAAGAATGAGACCTCAGAAAAACTTTTTATTATAGAAGATTCCTCTGTAGTTGTTCATTTTCAAGCAGCCCCAGAATTAACTTGACCTTTTAAAAATGGCATGAGCTAGTTGCATTGCAAAAGCCAGCCACAAAGGCAGTTCTCAAACATTGAGATTAAAGCAGACTTTAAACCTAACCCATTATACCTAACAAATATTTAAAATTCAGATTTTATTGAAACCAAACAGGATATACTTTAGCTTTACCCAGGTAAGATAACTGGTTTTGACCTTTAAACAGCAGCTTTGGAACATCTCGGACCCCTCCCCCACCCCCCCAAGCAGGAGTAAATAAAGAGCAGCACACATCAAACGCCCAGTAAGTGGCTCAGGTATTACTCGACAGTGCCTGTACAAAGCACTGATGATAGGCAAAACTCACCCAAAAAGAAACATAAGGCAAGAAAAAAATTTTTTTTCATAGTGTTTTTTAGAATGAAATGGATCTGAACTTATACTTAATAATCACTCACTCAGGCTTGTCCTAAACCTAATTTATACAGACAAATTTTATAATGTATCATGGATGGCAATAAGATCTAGTGAATCTTTATTCTGTGTCAGGATTGAGCATGTTCCAAGTGAACAGCCCTATGGGAATATCTGGATTCCAGTCATACTATATAGTCCCCATGTTTTCTAAAGGTTAAATTAGATCCCCACAAAGGAATGAAGTGGCTCAAAACAGTACCTTAAAGTCACCTTAGGAAAGTTGGTTCAAATATAGTGATACCAGGGCATTCAGAAAAACCCAGTTGTAACCCTGCAGAACAATAGAGTCAGATGCCACACCACAACATATAAAAAAAAATTGGAAGCAGCTTGAAAGTGAAGGGGCAATGAGAGGCTCAAAGGTGTGAGAATGACTGTTATGGGCTAATTTTTTCACCTTTCTAAATATGTAGAACTGTCTCGTCACTTCCTAGAGTTTTTACTGTCTCCAAAGCAAGGCATGACCCATAAACATGTTCTCTCAGCAGTCTTAAAATACAGGGATAGTTCTACCAGTAGCAATGTACATACAGACTTAGCATAGTAAACTTTTCCTCAGAACAGAATGGTTAAGGACTGTGATTTGGTAAACAAAGTTTTGGTAAATTCAATAACAGTTTCAGGCACGTATGGGAGGCAACCAATTGATGTTTTTTTCATATCAATGTTTCTCAAATCAATAAAAACATATTTTTGAGAATTTTTAAAAGGGGGTGGGGGGCTCAGGTTCATCATTGTGTAGTTTTTGTATGATTCTGCAAATGTAGCCTAATCTGAGTATGTACCAAATTTAGGACACACTAGAAATTGCTTTTTTAAAAATGCCTTACCTCAATGTGTCATGTGGTAAAAGTGGATTATGTAAAATGAACCAAAAACCTGGTTATTTTTCCTGGTTGCTCTTATTCCAAATAATTGTGACTTTAATGTTGTACAGTATACAACCATACAACTACTATTCCGTCCATAACACTACAGTAATGAAAAATATGTAGCATTCATGAACCTACCTCATACTTAATGATTTAAATTTTATTTTTCTTTCCTGAGCCAACACTGTTAGCACCTAATCTCTTCAAGTTAGATATGCCAGCCACTCAAAGCTTTCATAGGGTGAAAATAAAAACCTGATAAAGGCAGCCCTTAACCATCTCTGTATTTTCAGACTAGTTAAAATATAGATGAGTTACATTCCTCATTGAGGGCTTAAAAACTGCCATTTCTTAAGGAACAGGGATTAAATGGAGTGGCAGATGGGCACACAATGGCAGTTTTTAAGCGCTGCACACTACAAAAGGATAACCCCAGTCCAACCTGAGTTTCGTATTTTTCTACCTGCAAGACTGAGTGGCAAATTATTCTTCATTTGACCTGCTTAGTGTTATCCCAGATTACAGACTAGAAACTGCAAAATCCTTTTTTTTAAAAAGCCCTTCTTGTCCTAACCGGTTTGGCTCAGTGGATAGAGCATCAGCCTGCGGACTGAAAGGTCTCAGGTTCGATTCCGGTCAAGGGCATGTACCTTGCTTGCGGGCACATCCCCAGTAGGAGATGTTCCACCATTTGATTTCTTTTCCCAGCCACAAAATTGTCTCCTTCTTGTTGTAGTCCAAGTCCTACTTTTCCTTAAAAACTCAGTTTAAAATCTCTTTACCCTACTTCTTAAGCTAGTAACGTTTACAGACTATACCACCTATTTATTTTGAAGCCTAGACTAACTTAGGTTGTTAACAATCATACCTGGAATGAGCACAACAATCATTTATAAATACCACTATATATAAAAAGCACCAAACTGGGTGCCAGGTTATATTTTGGGTTAACCCATCACATTTCCTACTTTTTAGCTGAGGACCAAGTAAAATCAGGTTAAGAAACATATGAAGGTTTTATCTGAACAAGTAATGTGATTTTCTTTGAAATTTTTTTAAAAGCTTCACAAGAAAGTTTTGTATTATTCATATTTTAAGGTTAAAGAAACAACTAACAAATCATAGAGATTATTTTGAAAATCTTTGGGAGAATAAATTTTAACTTACTGATTTATGTTATGCTCAATCCCATCAGCTCTGCTTTGAAGAAAAAGTAAAAACCAGAAGAGTCACAGATATTTCACGAAATTAAGATCTTTTCTTGTAAATAGTAATGGAAATATTTTCTTTCAAATGAAATCATTTTAATTAGACTAGGTATGTGAAAAGTTGCTCCCCTGGATTAGAGTGCAAGTGTTTAAAAAAAATAGACTATTTCCTGACGTGAAAATTGTATGAAATTAAAATTTCATTGTCCATAAATAAAGTTTTATTAGAACACAGACATATCCATTTCTTTATGTATTATCCATGACTGCTTTTATACTACAACAACAGAGTAGTTGCAACAAAGACTGTATGGCCCGAAAGCTTAAAATACTTACTATCTGGCCTTATCAAATTCAAATGAGTCTTTTATTTCCTGTACACAATTTGAATATAAGACTTGAATATTTAAATATGTAAGTTAACATAATAATGAGGCACCTGTTTTGGTCTATCAATAAAAGAATATTAGGAACTACAAGGCTACAGTAAGACAGGCACTTTATTACATTGCTGTTAGGAATGTAAACTGGTTCATTTATTCTGCAAAGCATCAGGAGTCTCAAAGATCACTGTCACGCACGCTGTATAGAATTCAACCATAAGAACATAACACAATTTATTCAACCATTTTCCTATTGATAGCCATATGCACTGTTCCATATTTTACTATTAGAAACAATGCCATACATAACATTTTTATAAATTAACTGATGTTAAATCTATGGGAGTTACATTTTATGAGGACTAGAGTATTTTATATAATCTCTGAGTTCCTAGGATATAAATCTCAAGGTGGATTTTCTGGGTCACAGGTTAAGCACATCTTCAACTTTACTACGTATTACCAAAAATGTTCTCTAAAAAAAAGAACAATTTATTCTATGTCAACACTTTTCAGGCATATTATTGTTGCCAATCTGATGAAAAAGAATGGCATCTGTTATTTTCAACTGCATTTCCCTAATTACTAGGAAGATTTAGGAACTTATTCATTGACCGTTCACATTTCTTCTTTTATGAAATGGCAGACCAGATCCTTTGCCCAATTTTCTATGATAACATTTGTCTTCATTTGTTTTGGTTCATTTAGTAATTTAAAGGTGAATCCTCTATATTCTTTTAAAAACAAACTTCTTCATAACCACTACCTTTCCTCCAAGGCTCCTTTCACCTTCTCAACTAGATCCAGTATTATTCCTCTCAAAGAAATACTGTAAATTCCTCTTATGGACACCACTGCCACAAATACACCTTAAAGCTGTAATGATGTCACTACCCTCCAATAAATTCATATATAGCACAAAAATGTCCAAATTCCATAGTATGGCTTTCAAAGCCTTCCATATAATCTGTCCTCGACCAACATTTTCAGCCTGTAACTCCTATATATACTCTATGCACCAAACAAACTGGACTATTTGCCATCTCTCTCAAATATCCCCTTAGCTTTCTAATTCTCTGTCCTGAGCTATGCTCTCTAGCATCCATCTGTTTATCAGACATTCTTCTTCAAGGAAAGCTCTTCCTTACAATATAACAAATAAATATAGCAAAGAATTGGGGGGGGATCACCATTTTGTAACCATAGAAATAAACTGATTCAGGCAAGAATCATCAGTTGATGCTAAATCCAAAAGGTGATAATTTATGAGGAACAGGCTATTTCAAAGTATCCCTCCTCCAAATTAATTACTGAAAGAAATTTAAAAAACACCCTAACCAAAATATCAATAAGGGGCAAATACCATGTGCCTCCAAATTTGATGTTTTAAGAGAAACGCAAATTGAGAACATTCTATAAAATAACTAGTCTGTATTATTTTAAAATGTCAAAATGTTATTTGAAAATGTCCAATGCAACAAAAGAAAAAGGAAAAGATTGATAAATGTAAAAGACAAAGACTAAGGACCTTTTCCAGATTAAAAGAGATTAAATATAATACTTGATTCCTGACTAAATCCTGAATTAGGAAAACATAAAGAACATTATTAGGAGAACTAATGAAATTTCGGAATGGACTATAGATTTAGAACATGTGCTTAACTTACTGAATGTGTGCTTAATTTACAGAAATAAAAGAGCTTTTATTCTAAGAATCCACATACACCCCTACCACATCGAAGGAATGCACCAATACATAAACCTGACAAGGGGAACTGATAGGACTAACATGCTGAAACACTAGAGGGCACTTAAGATGAAAATAAACAAATAATGTGGGGAATGTTCATAGAAACCGTCACCACTTACCTTACTTCAAGAACAAACACATGGATTTGGGTCCTCATGTGATTTTTCAATAAAGACTTCAAGTCTCTAATATTGACAAAAAACTAACTGCATAAGTGTTAGTTACCAATAAACAATTTAGATTCTTAGTCTTTACCAAAAATTCTAAAAACACACATTATACTGCCTTTTGAATTTTAAATAAACTAATAGCTTTATTCAACAAACATTGAGTGAATACTATGTGCAAAGCAGTGTGCTAGGTGCCATGAAAGATACAAAGATGAAAAAGACAGTTCCTGCCCACAAAGAGCATATAATCTAGTGGGAGAAAGACAAATACACAAATAACTAGAATACAAGACAGTAAACAATAGAGTGGGCAGGTGTTGAATATGGCCTGAGTGTGATATTGGCCTCAAGGTTCCAATTTGAAACACTGGTGATGTAATGTTGGCTGCTTTGAAAATCCCATTTCAAAACAGCATACTAGATGTTTAAATGGTCCTACCCAAGCAGCTGGAGGCAAGAGAGTAGGCCAGGTAGAAACACTGTCACAACTGTTTGAAACACTGTCACAACTTACATACATGATGCTGATGCAAGTATGTAGAGTGAGTTACAAAAAGAATATATATATATAAGGCTATAGCTACTGTTTTAAACAATATACTTTTATATAAAAAGGAATTTATATAATCCCAGAAAAATCAATTTCAGGATTAATATTAATTCAACAAAGAATACTTCCATGGGCAATTTTCTTATTTACTAGTTAAGTCTTTTCTCTAAATATCTATAAAGCTCTTTAGCAATTAAACAGACATCTAAATATTGCTGAATAAAAACCTCTTATGTTCAGCCTTCTGAAGGAAATGGTCACATACCTGATAGCCTGATATAATACTATTCTAATAGCAAAAGAAGGCCTTAAAGAGATTTAAGGAAAATAATTTTTAATGCTTCAATGCAAATGGAACACACTGATTACATAAAATTCAATGTTCTTTGAAAATATCTCAACAGCATTTGATACTAGTTAAGGCCAGCAAAATTGAAGTGAGAAAAATATCACATGTATTGTCTTTCATTGGTTTCATATATCATTGCCTATGACTATGGCAACCCAATCTTCTCTGAAAATTGCATCCATTAGTATTAATGAGTTTGATTTGCTTCTCGCCCATATGCTAAAAACAACTGCTGACCACTTCATCTTGGTAGTGCTGTCTTACATAAATGGTGGTAGAAGCACATTTCTTGGCTGCTTTTCCTACTTCCTGAATTGGAGGGTTCACTGCTTAGCCTGTTCCCTTCAGTGTGTCACTGTGATCCTGGGACCTCTGCTGCTTTCTCTCAAGGAAACGAGCTCGTGCATCTGATATGGATTTATCGTCATTTCTCCTTTGCATTTTCTTTAGGACTTCTTTTGATATTCCATCTGAAAATATTACAAATTAATACAGTAAAACTTGAATTTTGAGATTCAGTGCTAGAAAGGTTAAGAGAAAGAGATGCCCTGATTTTTCAATGTTTAGGTAAAATTAAATTAAATTTTGCCCTTTCAAAAAAACCCAATATAGTCTATGGCTAAAAAACAAGAGCATGGAGGCCGAAGCAGTCAGAAAAACTGGCCCTATTCAAGCATTTATACACTACAGTTATACACTGCAACAAAACGTCTAGTGTCTAATGTTACTAAAAAGTCTATTCTATCATCTTGGGCAAATTCCTCACCATTTCATTTCTCGGTGATGTTAAATAAGGATAATATAACTTGTTCCATCAATCAGCCTCAGAAAGCTTTACTGAAAAGCTTTTTGTATGTGTGAACTAAGTAAGAATTAAGCTTTCTGTCCTAGTTCAGTACCACACTGTTTATGCCTCCCAATTAGGAGCCTAACATTTCACGGAAAAATAAAAAAAAAGATGTTCTGAGGAAATAACTCACAAAATTTTATAAACCAAATAAAAATAATAAAGTACTACTGGGAAGCAGTATGGCATAATAGCTAAGAGTAAGGACCATAGAATTAGGTTACTTGATTCAGAATCCAGATTCACCAATTATGAGCTATGGGATTTTTAGCAAAGTATTGTACACTGCTAAGTACTTCTTCATATATAAAGTGGGGACATTTACTTACTTTATATGTTATTATGAAAATTCCCCAATGGGGTAATGCAAGCTTTTAGCATATGATAAAAACTCATATATTCTTATTAACAATGCTATTGGACAGAGGGGTTTTAAAAAAACAAGATTTACTGGAAGCAAAGAAGGAAGTCAAAATAACGAAGTCTGAGACTAATGATAATTCTTTGCTTTCTGAGTAGATAAAGCCAGAATGTAAGTCCTATAACAATATTTCTGTAATTACATAAGAATTTGGACATTTATGTTTCCTGGACTATATAACCAGAACAAGTGATATACTCACCCTTTAGATGTTTTACGTTTTCCTTATTTGTCCATCTCCTTCTTGCATCTTCTCTTGCTTCATGTCGGGCCACGCTGCTCAAGTCTTGTGCATTAAATTCATGCAATTTGGGTAATAAGTCTCTCACCCATTCATAGCGAATTGGACACACAATTCTTGCGTAGACTTTGGTGGTAACTAATACCTCATGAAAAATGATCCATTCAAGTTTGGTTTCCTGTTCGTGAAGCTATACAAAAGAACTCACTTAGAGATAACTCAATAAACTGCCTTATTCTACATTAGACTAACCAAATACTATTAGCCCAAACTCTTCTGAATTAATCCCTATATGCTTCAATCAGGATAGAGACCAACTCAATACCTTTACAGCTTTATGTAACATAGTTCTATTATAAACTTAACCTCAAAGCAAAAAGTAGACGACATCTGTATATCACTTAATCTTACACCTTTATAAATTTCTTCTCTTTATTAAAAATAAGATACTTACTGCTGAGGAAGGATGAATGTGAACTGGGCTCCCACGCCCATCCATTGTGCAAAACGTTCTCCCAACAGATCTAAAAACAAAACAAACAAAAAAAGGATAAAGACACTGACAGTACAACAAAGACATCAGTAGGGCACTGAGTCAATGAATAGTTATATGTTCTGCTACATAGAGTACCATAAACAGAGGTTTAAGTTTATTCAACTGTCACTATTACTTCTCTACCAATTCATGTTAAACTATGTATGATACAACCGAGTCATTTAAGTATAAACACTTTTGGTTAACAAGTAGTAATATTAACAATAATATTTGTGTATTTTTTAAAAACATTTTTTATTTATTTCAGAGAGGATGGGAGAGGGAGAGAGAGACAGAGACATCAATGATGAGAGAGAATCTTTGATTGGTTGCCTCCTCCATGGCCCCCACTGGGGATCTAGCCTGAAACCCAGGCATGTGCTGACAGGGAATCAAACCATGACCTCCTGGTTCATAGGTCAACGCTCAATCACTGAGCCAAACAGGCCGGGTAATAGTATTGTATTTGTGCTTTAGACTTTCCAAAATACTTTCATAATAAAGGCTCAAAACAACCTGAGTTTTGAGAGCCAATCACTTTAAGGTCAAAAGTGAGATTTCAAAAAAAGTTAGCTAGCCTTCTAAAGGTCACAGAGCTAATGTATGGTAAAAGCAAGTCCCAATCATAGGTCTTCTGACTTAAACACAGTGTTATTTATATCTCTTTTTAAAGATATAAATTATTTTCAGTATCCTAAAATCTGATAATTAGAACATTTCATGAATTTTTCTAATTCATGTTCTTAATTTCAAATTCTTATCCTCTTCTACACTTTCTTACATAAATCTTATTCCAAAAACTTGTCAATATAACAGCCCTAGGTCAATTGTCATTACAATTTATTTCCTATACTACATTATATGTATTGCTATTATAACCCAGATCAGACAGCATTTTAATTATTTTAAATATCTGTATAGTACAGTGTATATTTATACAGTACAAAAATATTTTTTACTTGAACCATTTTGAGAATTAGTTGCCAACTTTATGCCCCATCATCCCCAAATACCTGAGTTTGCATTCCCTATAACCAAGGACATTCATCTACACAATCATAATACATCCAACAAAACCAGGGAATTAACACTAATATATTCCTAACATTTAATCCTCAGCTCCCACTGAAGTTTTATCAAATGTTCTAGTATCATTTATAGCAAAAGGATCTAGTTCAGAAATCATGTATTGCTTTTACTTTTAATGTCTTGTTAATCTCCTTCATTCTGGAACACTTCCCCAGTCTTTCTCTGACCTTCATAATCCTGACACTTTTAAAGATTATAGGCTAATTATAATTAATGTGCGTTTGTTTGTTTCAGAATGATTAGATTCAGGTTATGCATCTTTGGCAGGAATATCACAGAAGTGACACTGTGTTTCTATTATATCCTATCAGGAAAACATGATTTTGACTTGTTTCATAAATAATAATGTTCACTTTGATTGTTTGACTTGGGTAGTATCTGCCAGGCCTTTCCACTGAAAAATTACTTTTTCCTTTGTAATTAATAAGAATTTTATAGAGAGATGCTCAACTATACAAATAATTCCATTTGTCATTAAACTTTTATTAATTTACTAATTTATATGACTATAGACCCATGACTTCACATTTTATTCAGTGGGTTATATCATCCATTACTTTCATTTATTTTGATGCTCAAAATGTTCCATATTTGATCAGTTGGAACCTATTCAAGCTGGCTCCTGTGTACTTCTGACATGGCCTCAACCTTCACTGATCACTTCTTTGCTCACTGGCAAAATAAGATGTCCTAGGCTCATCTTGTGTTCTCCTGGCCCTATTTCTCCATAGATGCGCAAGTCCATCATGTAGCAGATGGTTTTTTCCAAGTCAAGATCTGGGCATTATGGTGTCATTGCTCCCAGTCCATCTCAGAGATAGGGTACATATGTATATAAGTATTTACACGCATACAAATACATATTTTATATATATTCACAGCAACATCCATTTTTATTTCCCTATCTATCCATCCAGCTATTTTAAAAAACAAAAGTTCACAATGATATCCTGAAGATCCAACCAACACCACAGAGCTCATTCTCATTTTCTCCCTTTCAGTACTTCCAACTCCTTTCACCATTATTAATATATTTATGTGCTCAATTTCTCTGTATACAGTGAATCTCCCATCACCAACACTGTTATCCCTTTCCTTACAAAAATGCCCTCCTCACTCTAACACTCAATACTGAAAAATTCCCATGTGAGTGCTTTCTCCATCCTGCTCAAGCCCTCGCACTCCACACCAACCTACCCTTTAGGGATGTCATCCTCAAACTTTTGGCTTTCACACCCCACACAGAGCAACGCCTCTGTAAAAAAAAAGCCTTGTCACTCTGCTAAGGCACTGATACCCATGCTGGACAGCTGTCCTTCAGACTCCCCTACTGCCCCACTCAAGTTCCAGTATCCCACTCTGAGCCACTGCAACTTTCCCTGCACAAATCACAATTATGAAAAGGGTCACTGTAATAGCTGATCATAATCACAGAACTTAAATCAAATCATCAATCTTTAATATTAAATAGTTCAATATTGTAGTCAAATATACTAGCATTTCTTTACCCATCTCCCAAGCTCATATTGCTTACCTTCGAGCTACATTTTTGAAATAGCCTGCACAAAGACATCTTCGAAGTACTTCATGTTTAGGGCCTTCAAACGTCTCTCTTGGAAAATCACTTTGCTATAGAAAGAATATAGAAAATATATACACACACACACACACACACACACACATATATACACACACACACACATTCACACAGACATATATATACACACACACAATGGTAAATCTCATAGAACAATTTAAAATATTCTTTTATTTTGAAAAATCCACATTTCTAAAAATTCTGTTTCTGGCCAATATGGAGTAAGAGGGACCAGATTTACTCTTCTGCTTGAAACAACCAAAATAGGGACTTTCAAAATACTGTACATATACCAAGTGATAAGGAATAATGATCTCCAAGAAATAAAGGAAGAGTCTCAAAAAAGATGAACCCAAATGGGCCCATACCAAGACACATCATAATTAAAGTGGCAAAGGTTAAAGACAAAGAGAGAATCTTAAAAGCAGCAAGAGAAAGTCAGTTACCTTAAAGAGAGCTCCCATAAGACTGTCAGCTAATTTCTCAACAGAAACATTTCAGGCCAGAAGGGACTGGCATGAAATATTCAAAGTGATGAAAAACAAGGGCCTACAACTAAGGCTATTTTTCCCAACAAGACTATCATTTAAAATTGAAGGATAAATAACAAGCTTCCCAGACAAAACAACAACAACAAAAGCTAAAAGAATTCGTTACCACCAAACCAGTATTAGAAGAAATGTTAAAAGGCCCTGGCTGGGTGGCTCGGTTAGTTGGAGCTTTGTCCCATACGCCACAAGGTTGCAAATTTGATTCCCAGTCAGGGCACATATTTAGGTTTTGAGTTTGATCCCAGGTTGGGGTATATACAGGAGGCAACTGATTGATGTTCTCTCTCACATTAAGGTTTCTCCCCCGCCCCCAAAAATCAATTAACACACACACACACACACACACACACACACACATACACACACATCCTTGGGTGAAGATTAAAAAAAAATGTTAAAGAATAAAATGGCAATAAATACATACCTTCCAATAATTACTTTAATTAAATGTAAATGGCTAAAATGCTCCAATCCAAAAACATAGGGTAGCTGAATGGATAAGAAAACAAGACCCATATATATGCTCTCTAGAAGAGACCCACCTCAGAACAAAATATACAGAATAAAAGTAAAAGGATGGTAAAGGTATTTCTTGCAAATGAAAATGAAAAAAAACAAAACTGGGATAGCAATACTTAATATGTGACCAAACAGACTTTAAAACGAAGGATATAGTAAGAGACAAAGAAGGATAGTTCATAAGATAAAGGGAGCAATACAACAAGATATAATTTTACTTACCAATGTCACCAACAAATCATTAAAAATAAAATTAAGGGAAATAAATTAAGTAAACCCAACAACCACCCCAGCATTGTCAGCCTTGAAAGAGATTCTGGATCAAGGTGCAGAGAAGGAAAAACCCAAGTGGAATCCGGAAAACTCCCTGAGTTAAAGAGACAGAGCTGAGAATACAGGAAGACCAAAACGACTGGAGTTCACAGGCAGAGTTCAGGAGAGAAGAGACCTTCATAGAGAACTCCAGAGATCTGTGTTCAGCTGAGTGCTGATTAGCACATGAACGTGAGGAAACTAACCAAGGCCAGGTAAAGGACCTCCTAGAAGGATAAGAGGTTACAATGCTTGGTGCTCACACACGGTTAGGAATGGCGCCTGTTACAAGCCAGACTAGAACATCTCATAATTTATATGGTTTTGGTAACTCAGAGGGTCTTGTCCAAATGCTACTCAAGAAAAAAAGCAATCACCTGTTTAAGCTTCCTGATTAGGTCTCGAAGTTGAGCTTCAACACGAAATGCAGAAAATAAGCACCTCCAATGAATCCAATGTTTTTGGCACCAGGAAGCTGGAGCTCCACTGAAAAACAAAAATAACAGTATCTTGAGAATATCTTCTATAAGTGAAAGACAGTCTAACATCCGCATTTCTATTACAAAACTAGAAACCCAAAAGCAACTGTCAGCTCTTTTATGAGATATATCTAATTACTGAAAAAGCACGTTAGCCCTAGCCAGTTTGGCTCAGTGGATAGAGTGTTGGCCTGTGGACTGAAGGGTCCTGAGTTTGATTCTGGTCAAGGGCATGTATCTCAGTTGTAGGCTCAATCCCCAGTGTGGGCTGTGCAGGAGGCAGCCAATCGATGATATTCCTCTCTCATCGATGTTTCTATCTCTCTACACCTCTCTCCCTCCCTCTTTTTCTAAAAAAAAAAAAAAAAGAAAAAGAAAAGAAAAAGCACTTTGAGGAATTTGAAAAAAAATTAAATGTGGGTGCCTCTGAATGAATTAAAAATTCTTTATAAATGGATAATTTATACACATATGCTCTAACAAATAGCCAATCTTTTTCTCATCTAAGCTACTTATATAGAACCAAAATTCTATGAGGTCATCTTCAGGAAAGGTTCAGGGAGAGAAAAAACACACTAATATTCTATATAATAAAAGGGTAATATGCAAATTGACTCTAACGGCAGAATGACCGGTCACTATGATGCGCACTGACCACCACGGGGCAGACGCTCAACAGGAGCTGCCCCCTGGTGGTCAGTGTGCTTCCACAGGGGGAGCTCCGCTCAGCCAGAAGCCAGCTCATGGCTGGCCAGCACAGTGGTGGTGGTGGGAGCCTCTCCTGCTTCTGCCACAGCAGTAATGATGTCTGACTAACGGCTTAGGCCTGCTCCCCTAGGGCTCCCAGGCTGCCAGAGGGATGTCAGACTGCCAGCTTAGGCCCGATCCCCTGGGGAGCAGGTGACACCTGGCAGGTGGACATCCCCCAAGGGGTTCCGGACAGGGGTTGCCTAAGACCATCCTGCATATTAGATATTTACATTACGATTCATAACAGTAACAACATTACAGTTATGAAGTAGCAACAAAAATAATTTTATGGTTGGGTCACAACATGAGGAACTGTATTTAAAGGGCCAGAAAATTGAGAACCAGTGGTCTAAAGTCACATAGTAAGTACATATTGGAGCTATAATTCAAACCGACAATTTCCAGTACAGACAACTCACATACCTTGATTTGCACTGCTCAAAAATGACAGCTAAAGTTGCAAAGTCATTAAATCCTCCAGCTTTAGCTGCCAGTTCTCGATGTCTCTGTTCTGCTTCCTTCTGATACTCTGGATCAACTAAAAGACAGTTGCAGAGGCAATTTAGTTCCATTTTATATCAAGTGTCTACATTCACTTTGTTTATTCAAGTTCATTAAAATTTGTCTCACCCTCTGGGGTGGAGTAAGGTAGATCTCTATTACCTTTTCAAGGGGGCTCTAATTACTCCCACAACTCCTCTTTCTCTTTTAACCACACTTTGGAGATGTTATCAGATATAGCAACATTACTTCTCCCAATCAATTTGCTTTTAAAATAGTATTTAATACACGTATTTATTTTTTAATTCACTTTTATCATAAGAGTAACCCATGCTCACAGTAAAAAAAATTACATAAAAGTTCAAGGTTCTCCATTTTGTCACATTACCCACAAATCAATCCTCAAGGCTAACCACTGTTAATTATTTAATGTGTGTTCTTCAAGATATTTTCTATGCATATACAAGGATATGTATATAGTGATTTATTTTAACATAAATAGGATATATGTTCTGAAACTTCCTTTATTTATTTAATAAAGGCTTCATGTCAGTGCAAATGGAATTATTCATTCTCAAAAACATCCACCTTGTATTCCCCAGGAATGTAAGAAACATAACACAATTTAACCAGTCCTTATTTATTCAATTCACAATTATGAACAATTAGACAGAAAGGTCAAATATGCAGAACTAAACTACTACAAACTTTTTACTTTTCTTTTTTAACTTCATATTGAGGTATAACATGCATTCAGAAAACTACACAGGTCATAAGTGTACAGCTCAATGAATGTTCACAAACATACCACACTAATGTACTACTCAATACCTCGATCAACACACAGAATCACCAATGCCCCAGAAGCCCTCTTTTTGCCATTTTCTAATAACAACCTGTACCCCTCCACAAAGGTAACATGTCCTAACTTCTAACCCCAAAGAAGGTTTTGGCCTGTTTTTAAACTTTGTATAAATATACTTTATGTGTCGTGTTTCTTTTGCTCAATATTTCATTTTTGCGACTTACCTGTTATTGACTGACTGGATCGCACTTGGGACTGATGTCTACCACGGCCCAAGTTCCCCACATAACACTTCACCCAGGCTAATTTTCCTTCAGAGTTCAATTTCTCAGACTTCCCAAGGATCCTTCCTTCATTGTACCACATCATACCACAATTCCTATTCCTTCAGTACACCCATCACAGCTACATTTACCAAAGGCACCAAGTTGCCTGCTTCTAGGAAGCAGCACTTGTATAGACTACACTATGAATCTCCATAGCAGCAGTTCCTGGTATTAGGAGGAAAGTAATCTGACTAAAGAAAATGCTCCGGAAGATATAGTCTTCCATCCTGCCCTGGCAGTGTTCTCAGTGGATAGAGCACCGGCCTACATACCAAAGGATCTCAGGTTGGATCACCGGTCAGGGCACGTGCAGGAGGCAACCAATTGATGTGTCCCTCTCACATAAATGTTCTCTCTCTCTCTCTCTCTCTCTCTTTCTAACTATCTATCTCTATCTCTGTCTCTCTGTCTCTCTCTCTCCCACATCCCTCCTCCCTTCCACTCTCTCTAAAAATCAATGGAAAAAATATCCTCAGGTGAGGATTAACAACAACAAATATAAATATATATATATAAATAAAGTCTTCCATCCCAGGCTTTATGTAGTTTCTGCCTGTTACCTAAGGAGCAATTGAAGAAAGCAGCTAGAGACAATAGGAGAGAGGATATAGTAAAGTTAGAGTCCGTATCACACACAGTTTGTACAGTCTAGCAAGTTTATCCTCCGACTACACAAAAGTTGGACTATCCATCTTTACTTAACCAGTAGACTTGTCATTTTCTTTAATTTATTATCTTTCCCCATATGAAATTCTATGATCAGTTTTATCTCATGCAAATAGGTAGATGCTACTGAGGCAAAAACTATAAATAAAAAGCTAAAGCAGCAAAACAAGGCTATATCAGCAAAACTCCCTTTGGGAAGATAATTCAGTATTTTTCTATATAGCTATAAATCAGAAAACAAAACTATTACACAGAAAAGGTTTCAACAACAGTCCTCAGAGATGAAGTGGGGAAATATCACATACAAATAAAGTACCCTTTACTTCTAAAAATATCACAATTAAAATAAAAACTTTAAAACCAACCCAATGTTATTTTAAATTTGTTCTATTTTAAGGCTAAGTTGTTTACCACCAATAAGCTATTCACCACCTAAAAGCCCTCTCTCCACTGTCTGATTTCTAAAGCAATACAGTGGGGCCTCGACTTACGAGTGTCCCAACTAACGAGTTTTTTGAGATACCAGCTGTCTCTTGGTTAATTTTTTGCATTGAGTTGACAGAGTAATTTGAGTTAACGAGCCCCTTAACGAGCTCGGTCTTGGAACGAATTAAACTCATAAGTCAAGGCCCCACTGTATATATAATAGCAAACACTGTAATACAGTTTACTACAGCAAAAAAAAAAAAAAGGTTACGAAAAACGTTGACAATATCATCATTTTGATATTTAAAATCTTTATTCAATGTTAGATCTAAGAAAACTAGCCAGTTTTACCAATAGGTATGTAATAAATTGAATTAGGTAATCTATGATGACTAAGAACCAAGCCAGAAAGGATTGCTTAACACGTTAGGCACCCAGCCTGTTTTGTCTTCCAGACGGAAAGTATAGTGTCAGTCACCCGTGACTGACTGGGTGCTTAACGTGTTAACCTTTAAAGACTATAAATGCTCTTAGAAAGCAGCTGGAAAGGCAATACACACTTTGAATATAACAAGAGTCAGCAAGTCACATGCTCAAAAACGGAAGATGCTTTCTGCAGCAACTCAAGATCTTGAAATTTCAGGTTTAAAAATCAAGACTAGGTCATATATGTGTACATTTCTTTACGTTTGAATAAGAAACTGATAGTAGTCGTTGCCTTTAGGAATCAGACCTGGGACATGTTTAGGAGAGGACGACTTACTTTTCACCTCATTTCTTTTGTAGTGTTTGAATTTTTAACTATATAATATGTTGGAAATGGTGGTGTGAAGAGTTAGGCAGAACCTCCCTCCCAGAGAAACATCAATTAAACTAGTCAAATTATCCATGTCTCTGGAGATTGACTGAATCTGTGGAATTCAGCAAGAACAGTTGGAAGTATCGCATCCAAATAGCTAATATAGTCATCCCCCCACAGCTTTGTGTGAAGAACTAATTCTGAGGGCTTGGCAGCCCTAAAGTGGTACCATTTCTCTCACCCCGTTTCTCCTCTGTACAGAGGATCCGGCTGAACAGCTAATGAATGGGGGAACAGCTAATGCCAGTGCAGCCCCCCATTTCCTTACAGCTCTGTAGTGTAGAAGATCTGTTCCACTGAGTTCAGTGGCTGAGTGGTAGCTCCCACAACTCCCAGTTTCCTAAAGCTGTTCAGGTACTTTAGAATTAAAAAAAAAAAATTTTGGCAACCAGTGTGTCCACAGATCCCATCTAGTTAGCCTTTGTACTGAGTGGTAAAAGAAGTTCCCACCCGCTCCCACCCCAAGCTTCTGCTCCAGGAAGATGTAGGCAGGGCAGACAGCGAAGAGCAGGTTCCCCATTACCCCCCAAAACCTGTAAGTAAATACTGAACTCCAGTTGTATAGGGTGGCCTTCCACAATGGTATAGCTTAGTTCTGGAACTACTTTTGTATATTCTAAGGACAATGGACAATTTAAATATGGACTCTGGACTAGATAATAGCACTGTATCGATGTTAAATTTCCTCATTTTGATAACTTGACTTTGGTTAAATAAGATATTACCCTTGTTCTTAGTAAATATACAAGTAAATATTTTGTGGTAAAAGTACAATCTCTCCAATTTACTTTCAAATGATTCAGAATAAGAAAATGTATATTTATAAGTATATATGTATATATACATATACAAAGAATAAGCAAATGCAGCAAAATGTTAAAATCTGCTGAAATTAGATAAAAGGTATAAAGGACTTTCTTTCATTTTTTTTTTAATTGATGTTTTTAGAGAAAGAGGGAGAGAGATACCTCAATTTGTTGTTCCACTTATTTATGCATTCATTGATTGATTCTTGTATGTGCCCTGACCACAGATCAAACCCACAACCTTGGTGTATCAGGCTAATGCTCTAACCAACTGAGTTACCAGGCCAAGGCCTGTCATATTCCTTCAACAGTTCTATAAGTTCAAAGTTATATTACAAAATGTTACCAAGAAAAAAAGAAGGCTAATACCAGACTGGTTTCATCTATTTAAACTAGAGGCCCGGTGAATGAAATTCATGCACGGGTGTGGTCCCTGGGCCTGGTCAGTCATAGAAGGCGAGTGTCTGGTGTGGAAGGGCAGGTCCCAGCTGACCTCTGGGCCCTGGGCAGCACCAGGGCCCCTGGGCCTCTGCGCCTCCCCCCTCCAGGTGAGTCACAGCACCCGAGTCCCCATGTGGAGATGTGGTGAGCGCGGCCAGACGCCGCGGGGCCAGGGCACAGTGTGAGCCTCTGGGCCACCCAGTGGCACCGCACGGAACCCGGCTGGCCTCGCAGACCGGCTCCTGTGTGAACCCACAGGAAGCCTGAGCTGTTCCTGCAGTCCCAGCAGCTGCGGTCCAGCTCATCCAGAAGACGCTGCACCACACGGGTGCAGGGCAGGCTCCTCGTGGGCGCCTGGCACCTGAGCGCGGGGGAGGTTAGCAGGGGGAGTTAGAGTGAGGTCGGTGGATCCACCACATTCTCACTGCACCTCTGTCCCCATCACCCCCGCCCCCAGGTAGCCACCAAGAGGTCGCATGGTGTAGCCGACATCTGCCCTGTTCCTCGCCACCCCCTGGTGGTCAGCACACGTCATAGCGAGCAGTTGAACTCCGGTGGAGGGGAAAGATTGCATGTTAGACTTTTTTATATAGGATATCCCAACAAGGAAAAACATTTCCTTTTTCTGGCCTTTACAAGACTATTAGAATTGGATCACCTTAATCCAAATCCCTAGTTTTACAAATGAAAATCTGTGATTCCACTAGAAGAAAGCAAAGCTGACATGTGACAAACTAAGCTGTGTCCCATGATGACACACCAGGAAAAGAAACAAGCAGAAGTTTAAAGACATGAAAACCTCAAAACAATCCTCTGAGGGTACAAGGGCTAAACTACCTTCTTTTGATGCTTGGGAAAAAAAGGTTAATATATTACTAATGTACTATACAACAGGGCAAAGGTTCACCATACTATCTTCCCTTACCAATGAAAGAAAATTAACTCTCCCCCCAGGAACATCACATACTCCCTATTTTAAACAACTAAGTTAAAGAATAACAAAATGAAAAAACCATTTGTCCTCAGTTTCATGTCCTACAGGGCTAGGTATATGGTAATCAAAAAATGGTCAATGAGCCCAGCCGATGTGGCTCAGTGGTTGAGCATTGACTCATGCACCAAGAAGTCTTTGGTTGGATTCTGGTCAGAGCACATGCCTGGGCTGCAGACACAATCCCCAGTAGGGAGAGTAGAGGAGGCAGCCAATAAATGTTTCTCAGTCATTGATGTTTCTATCTCTATCTCTCTCCCTCTCCCTTCCTCTCTAAAATCAATAAAAGCATTTTTTTCAGTGACAGTAAACACACAATACAATAAACAGATGATATATTATAGAATTGTACACTTGAAACTCATATAATTTTATTAACCAAAGTCACCCCTATAAATGCAATATAAATTTTTAAATAATAAAAATAAATAAATGCTCTGAAATACTGGAGATCTAAATAAATGGAGAAATATTCCATGCACACGGATAGGGAGACAATACTGTCAAGATGTCAGTTTTTTCCAACTTGATCTATAGATTCAATACATCCCAATTAAAGTCCTAGCAAGTTATTTCGTGAGTATCAACAACCTGATTTTAAAGTTTATATACAAAGGGAAAAGACTCAGTATAGCCAAAACAGGGAGAGAGTAAAGTCAGAAACTGACCCATACAAATACAAGCAAATGATCTTTAACAAAGGAGCAGAAGCATTTTAAGGGAGAAAAGATAGTCTTTTGAACAAATGGAGCTGGAACAAATGGACATCCAACTTCCAGAAGATAACATAGAAGAAAATCTACATGACCTTAGGTATGGTGATGACTTTTTAGATAAAACACCAAAGGCATAACCCCATGCAAGAAATAATTCATCAGCTGAATATCATTAATATTAAAAATTCCGCTCAGCAAAAGATAATGTCAAGAAAACAAGATGACAAGCCACAGACTAGGAGAAATATTTGCAAAAAACATATCTGATAAAGCACAGTCATCCTAAATATCCTATATAATAAAAGAGAAAAATGGTAATTGGCGTACGACGATACCCTTTACATTGGCTAATCAGGGCTATATGCAAATTAACTGCCAACTCAGATGGCAGTTAACTGACAATAAAATGGCGGTTAATTTGCATACGTAGGCACAATGCAG